CTTGCAATCCTGGGGCTCAGGACTTTGTCCAGGACTTTGTGCTTGCTTACTAGGCAAGTACTCTTCCACTGAGCTACATTCCTAGCCCTTCTCACAGCTCTTTGTAGATCTCCGACTTGGTTTTTATTCAATCTTGGTCATGTTATGGATCCTCCCATTACTGTGGATTGGGCACAGTTCCCCTCTGTTCTAGACACTATGATTGTGGCTGAGTTCTACCTTGGGCTGATTTCTTTATTTTATTTTTGTTTTTATTGTAGAGGTGATGGACAGAGCGGTTACAGTTATTTAAGCCAGGTATTGAGTATATATGTCATCCCTCCCTTATTTTTCTCCCAGGTTTTCCCCTCCTAGGCTCCCTCCCTCCAAGTTGTATAGTTCGTTTTCAACATAGTGTCTAGTGAATAACACTGCTGGGTTAGTTCACCCTTTGTCCCAATGTTTCTGTGCTTCCCCTTCCCCAAATCAGATAATCTTACATACAAGCCAAAAGGTACAGAAATCAAATACAATGACAAAAGGGAAAAAAAGAACCGCAAAAAGTAAAAAGCCCCTCTTGCTTCCACTTCTTGGAGTTCATTTGAATAAGCATCATTTTTTCTGATCATATGCACATAGTTATTGAGCTATTGGGCTGATTTCTATTTGGTGGAAAAAGTTAGAACTGCTTCTAGTCCTCTGTGTAAACAACTTCCTTTTATATCTCCCTCAGCTGATAGAGTAACTGAATTTTCCTCTTTTCCATGAATTGTGTTAACTTCCTGCACAGGCAATCTGGGCTTGGCTACATGGGCTTACAGTGAATTTCCAAACGTGATGGGGCTTGACCACAGAGCCCTCAGGTTGCTGAATATGGAAAGAGCCTTAGTCACATGCTGTGAAACAGAAGATTATGGGAAGGGTAAGTCAGGTGCATTGTGAGCACACTTCAATGGAAGCTTATTGTACTCATTGTGTACCCCAGTGTAAAAACCTATGCACACAATTCTGTAAGTCATTTACTTGTTGAGAAGAGACAGAGAAAGAAAGTGGCAAAGAAGATGGAGAGAGCTTCGCAGCTGAGTAGAGTAAGAACATGAGAAGCTGGAACCCAAGTGAAGAAAGTGTTTTAAGAAGGGGATTAAATGAACATCCACAGGTTTCCAACAGACCCAAATCAGGACTGGATCTGGCAAGTCCTAACTCTTTTCTTTAAGGAAGGTGGTCAGGGGCTGGGAAGGTGGCTCAGTGGTAGAGTGCTTGCCTTGCATGCATGAGGCCCTGGGTTCGATTCCTCAGCACCACATAAGCAAAATGAAAAAAAAGCCAGAAGTGGCACTGTGGCTCAAGTGGGTAGAGTGCTAGCCTTGAGCTGAAGAGCTGAGGGACAGTGCCCAGGCCCAGAGTTCAGGCCCCACGACCAGACCCCCTCCCAAAACAAAAACATTACTTAAGGAAGGTGCTCAGGACACAGTAGGGGTGGAAAAGTGAGGAAACATGTTAGTCATAGCACAGTGGCGGGGAGATGTGCCCCAGAGAGGCAGACACATTTTGGGAGGTGATTAAAGATAGATGGAGGAATTCTCCTTAGAAAAACAGGGAAAGGCACATGGAGTAGATGGACTTTTGGACTGTTCCAGTTAGGAGGAAGGGATAAAACCGGGATTCAGTTATTTTTGCCATCATTCATGTAAAACTCTAATGTTAATCTACATGTTGTTATTCTTTTTTTTTTTTTTTTGGGTGGTCATGGAGCTTGAACTCTGGGTCTGGGTGTTGTCCTTGAGCTCTTCAGCTCAAGGTGAGTGCTCTACCACTTGAGCCACAGCTCCACTTCTGGTTTTCTGGTAGTTAATTGGAAATAAGAGTCTCACGGACTTTCCAGCCCTGGCTGGCTGTGAACCACAATCCTCAGATCTCAGTTTCCAGAGTTGCTATGATTACAGGTGTGAGCCACCAGCACCCGTGTGTCGATGATCAATAGCGACATGATTGCTATTTTACATGGACAGTAATACACTCTATCACATCCTTCTTTCTAGAAGGACTTGTGTCTTGGACTTATGTCCTTCCCTCCCTTCCCTTCTCTTCTGTCTCTTTTTCTTTTTGTATTTGGGGTTGAATCCCAGGGCCTCCCCCATGCTAACCAAGCACTCTACTACTTGAACCACGCCCCCAGCCCCTTTGTTTGTATTTTGGTTTTTTGAGATGGGATCTTGCTAACTTTTTCCAGGGTAGCCTCAAAATTGTATTCCTCATACTCCTGGCCTCCAAAATAGCTGGTAGACATGTTCACCAGACCAGGCCAATTTCTAATCTTTGAATTCCATTTTAAATTCAGTATTAGAACAGCATATGTGACTGTACAAACCTTAGTCTCAATAATAGCTACCAAACAAACCTGACATCACCCGTCAAGCATTGAAAATGTATATGAATTCATTTTGTTTTCACAAACAAGCTAACAACTTTATTGTCCTGTTTTTACTTTGTCATAATGGAAGCAGAGAGGAGTTAAGTAACTTGCTCAAGGCTACAGAGTAAATGTCATGTGTCTTCAGCGGTCATTGTCAGCAAAGTGCTGTACTTCTATTTCATTTTTTTACTATTATGCATATACTTGGATAGGATGGGCAAATCATTAGAGAAAAATCCTCACAGGATGGACTCTCTTTGACTTCACCTTTCACTTTTCTAAAGACTTGGAAAGAAATTGCAGGTTGTCATTTCAGGGTAGGGCCTAGGTACTGAATACTGGCTCTGGATACTTTAAGAAGTTTAAAGTGTCACTAGCAACCATCATCACAGATATCCACTATATGCAACAGACTTCTCTGGGCATAGTGATTGTGCTTTCTTGGGAGCTGAAAGAATACGGTCAGTCTGTGAGAAGTTTTAAGGCTCAAATGCCATTAAGTGTATACAGGATTGGAATATAAAATAAGTAGATTCTAGCAGAATCTTGTGGTAGGTCAGCCTTGGTTTGATTCCTAATGCTCTTTCTTTTCTTTCCTCTTTTCCTTTTCTCTCCTTTCTTTTCCTCTTCTCTCCTCTTTTCTGTGCTGATATTAGGGCTTGAAATTAGTGCCTGGGTGCTGTCCCTTAGCTTTTTCACTCAAGACTGGTGCTCTATCACTTGAACCATACCTTTACATTGCTGCTTAATTGGAGACAATAGTGCCACAAACTTTCCTGCCTGGGCTGCCTTTGAACTGTGATGTTCAGATCTTAGCCTCCTGAGTATCCAGGATTACAGGCATGGGCCAATAGGCCCTGGCTCTAATGCTTTATTTTTAAATTTAAATAGGTCAATTTTTTCCAAAGATGTATTTATTCTCTTTCTTCCTGACACTTCTATAAATTGGTTCATCCTGTTGATAATGATTGGGATAAATAATTTTCCTAAGCATTTGAAGTCTCTCCTTTTAGTAGGTTTTGAGTTTCCACTTTTGATCTAAAAGTTTTTGAAATAAGGTCCTAGCTAATTTTCTCTTCTTGGCAGACATAAGGGGAAGAAATAACTTTTGCTATGATACTTTCAGAATCAGAACTAGATTAACTTTCTCAAAGCACAGAGCCATACCATTAGCTTTTATTTTTTCTTTCTCAAGATGAAAGTCTGTTCTCGTTATTCTGTTCTTATTAAAATGCGGCTCACTGGGAATGCTTATTTTGAGATCTAGCATTAAAATTTGCTCATAATGTCTACAAATATGGAAAACTTGTTGGAGAATATTTACCATATTTCTTGGGGATCGCTTCCTGTCTGCTATGTAATATTGTCGTAAATCATGGACACATGGAAGGAAGAAACACTTAGGTGATTGTCTTACTCTGGAAAAGAAGCTACTTCCTAAAGAAGAGGGAGTTCTTTTTTCTTTTTCTTTTTTTTTCCTTTTTCATGGCCACAGAGCAAAGCAAACACTCACCCTGGTTTCCTGTCGGTCATTTCCTCTCTGCTGATCCTGATCTGAAGCCAGGGCAAAGGAAGAGAAATCCTCTCTCCAACTCTCAAATCTCTGTTAACTCACTGTGCCCATGACTAAGTTTAAAATTGTATAAAACCTAAGCTGCTGCAAGCTTCTAGAATTTCACGAATGTACAGACGAGAAACGCGGTAAGACTGTTTTTAGAAATTAAAAAGAAAAAGTCAGAATCAAAATGAGGAAATTTTGATGATGCAAATTTCCAGTCTTGGGAACTTGAGAACATTCAAAAGCCCCAAATCCATGGGGCTTAACAGTTGTGACTGTTGCGTTTTAAAATATTTTAGGCTCCAGTTGTCTTTTTGGGACACACATTAAAACCATTTTATTTGTATCTGTGCTTAAAAAAAAGAAGAACTTAGCAATTGGAAATCATTTCTTTAAATCCAAGATACAGATTTCCTAATTGATACTTTAAACCTTTTAAACATTTCTTTTTTCCCCAACCACAACTCCAGGAAAATCAGAGTACAGCAGTTTGGCATCAAGTACTGTAGAAAAAAGAGGGTTTTGCTTTTTGATCTTAATACTTGTTCTGAGTAACCATCACTTTTATTGATTCAGAATGGCATGAGGTGAGAAGACAAAAATGTAGCAAGAAAAGGTCTTTCACTAGTGTGTCTAGTAGGAATATAATTTTTTTTCTGGTGACACGATCCCAGTACATTGAAAAATATATTCACCCTATAAAAGTTAGTGAACCTTGAGGCAAATGTGAAGTAAAACTTCTGGTCCCCAAAGTCTAAAGGCAGTGTAGGGAGGCTAGTTTTCCCCAGGATTCTTCACTTATTTAAAGTGGATCTCAGACAAACAGAGGAACGAATTTTCCTCATAGTCCCAGCAAAACCTTCGGTTGTATATTGTCCCAAACTATGAAGAACCTGCCAGGGCGCCCCCACTCACCCCACCCACCCCGTGCTGACTTTCCAGCCACCAAGTCAGGACCCTACGATGGGCAGGGAGGGGGGTGGGGGGTCGTCTCCCACACTTTGCCCCAGGACAGCGAGAGAGGTTCCCGCTTTTTTTTTTTCTTACCTGCATAGTGGTCAAACACGGTGGGCACGTACTCCTCCGGGAAGGCGTCGTTGGCGTAGCTCATCAGCAAGCAAGTTTTGCCCACCGCTCCGTCGCCCACCACCACGCACTTCAGCATCTTCTTCTCAGCACCTCCCGCACGGCCGCTGCAGCTGCCCTGGCTGCCCTCTGGGCGGCTCATGCTGGGGGTTCGGGGGCTGCTGGGGCTTCCAGAGCGCGTGGAGCGCCGGGCTGCACGCCGCCCGCCTTCGCCTACCTGGCGGCCCGCAGGCGCATGGCTGGGCGCAGGGCCGTGCGGGCTCACCGCACTGCAAAGCAAAGCATCCTCGGGGGAGCGAGTGAACACAAGAAATCGCAGCGCAGTTCCTGCTCCCTAAGTCGACGCGAGGCACGGAAACCTTCCTGTCCACAAACTTCTAGTCGTCTGGCAGTCTGGTCATTTCAGGAGTCGCCCCCCCCCTCCCTGCGCCCCGCCTTCTGCGCTTCCTCTCGGTCTCTCCAGCCCCGTGGAGGGCACAGCGGTGGGACTTCCTCGGACTCCTCTCTGTTTTCCACCTCACGTCGGACATGGAAGGAAGCTGGGCTTTTTCATGGAGTTTCCCCCTAGCTTCCTCCAGCACGCCCGAGTGTCAGGAAATCATGGGTTTCCTGCTGCCTTCCATATTAGGACCCGTGGGCTGGGAAGGGCTGCGCCCCTGGAGCGCTGAGTGCGTGTGTGTGTGTGTGTGTGTGTGTGTGTGTGTGTGTGTACACTTCTGGGGGAGCAGTGCCAGCACTGGGAGAGCTCTCGGGGCGCGCTGCACACTCCAGCCTGCAGACATCCTGTGCCTGGTGCGCTCCGGTGCGCGCAGGGAGCTGGCTGGGCAGGGGCGGGTGGGGAAGGGCGAGAAGCCGGGCAGTGCAGCACCCTGGGGGGAGGAGCAGGGGGAGGGGGAGGGGGAGGGCTGGCCCGAGCTGAGCCGGAGAGCCCCGCCAGGGTTACAGGATAACAGATGACATCACCCCTCACTGAGTCACCAGTTGAAAGCTCTGCGAGTGAGAAAGGGATTTTTCCCCCCTCCCTTTCTTTACAGGAGACACCCTGTGGTGTTCTTTTCTAGAATAAAGAACACCAGCTAAACCAGGTGCTGGTGGCTCGTGCCTGTGAATTGACTCAGGAGGTTGATGGAGGAGGATCCAGGTTCAAAGCCAGCCTGGGCAGGCACATCCATGAGACTCTTATTTCCGATTAACCACCCAAAAAGCTGGAAGTGGACCTGTGGCTCAAGTGGTAGGGCGCTAGCCTTGAGTGAAAAAAGTAAGGGACAGTGTCCAGTCAGTGCAAGTCCCAGTAGGATGTGGGGGGGAAAGGGGGAGAAGGAAAGGGAGGGGAAGGAGGAGGTCTTCCAGAGTTATGTGGCACCAAAGTACACATTTTGTAGAGGCCCTATATAGGATCATAACTATAGCTGTCACACAGCATAATGCTCAGACAGGTGTCCCACACAGAAACGTGCCTCTGGTTGTAGCATAGAAGAAATCAATCAGATGTGGACACTGGAAGTTTCCTGTTAGTAAACACATCTGTGTTGGCACAGACTTAACACCCTTGGAAATGAGAGGGCTGCTTGGTTTGCTTAAGGTGCCTAGTGCTGGTTTTGCTTAAATGTTTTCCTTTTTTTACTTAGGCCTCTTCCCTTGGGTCAGCCTGCCCCCCTTCAATTACAAAGGAGCCATTGGCAGCTAGTTTATTTATCTGTTGGGACCCTTAAAGCGAAGCCTCTTTGAAGTGGTGCATGTGATTAATGTACTTGATCTTGGAAAAGAAGTGGAACTCTGCAAATGATTTTGACTCAAGGATCAACATGGGTCCTTTTTATTTTTTGAGATTTTGAAGAGTTCAGGTTATCCATATTCTTTGGGAAGTTTTTTTTATTTTTGGAGGGGCAGGGGATGGGAGAAAAAGACTTTTAGTCAGTAGTTATTAATAACATCTACATATATACATGCTACCATATAATAATGATAGCTCTTTTTTTTTTTTTGGTCAGTCAGGGGACTTGAACTCTGGGCCTGGGCACTGCCCCTCAGCTCTTCAGCTCAAGGTGAGCACTCACTTCTTGAGCCACAGAGCCACTTCGGTTTTCTGAGTGGTTTATTGGAGATAAAAGTCTCACAAACCTTCCTGCCCCTGTTGGCTTTGAACCATGATCCTCAGATCTTAGCCTCCTGAGTAGCTAGGATTACAGATGTGAGCCACCGTGCCCGGCTCAAATTTCTTTTGTTTTGGAAAAATTAGAATAGCATTTGCTATAATTATGTCTCAACATTTCTTTTTAATAGAAGAGTGATGTTTCAATTGAGTTAGATTGTATCATCATCTAGTGTATGTTGCAGTAACAACCCCATCCCCACCAAAGCTCACTGATTTAAAATAACACTGTCTTTTCTTTTTGTTATTGTATATTACTGTCATTTTTACTCAGAGATCTAGGCTGATTGAGCAGTCACATTGTTCTTATAGGCTCAGGTGTGCATAGACTGTCTACCCAGATAGAATGGTCTTGACATTTATATGTATGAACTTCGAAGTAACATGAAGACCATGCCTAAAGCACTGTTTACCAGAGGCCTGTTGTTTGGGGTCTTGGTCCATGCCAATGATTGAGTAGTGGTTACATAGCCATTAATTATTTGGTTTACCTCACTACCACGTTTATGCAAACTTAACCAGCACAGGGTGAAATTTTGAGTGGTAATTCCTGCTTTTCATGAGACATCTCAATTCTCTGGCTCTCTTGTCTTCTGAGCTTAGGTCTGAGCTTTGGCTTTACCTGAATTTCTTCAAATACCAGCATAAAAAAATTCTGACTCCTTTGATCACATATAGTTTTGGTCCTTTCCCTATCTTTTTACTTTGTGCTTCAAACGAGAAGTTATAGTCCAGGCACCAGTGGCTTATGCTGTAATCTTAGCTACTCAGGAGTCTGAGATCTGAGGGTCGCACTTAGAGCCAGGGCTTAAAAGTTCATGAGACTCTTATCTCCAATTAACTGTTAAAAAAAAAAACTGGGAGAGATGCTGTGGTTCAAATGGTAGGACACCAGCCTTGAACAAAAAAGCTCAGGGTTAGCATCCATACCCTTACTTGAAACCCCAGGACCTGCACAAACACAACAACAACAAAAAGAATATAAACAAAAAATCTAAAAAACAGGACAAAGGAAGGATGAGGATTAAAATATTGTGCTAGTATTGGAGTTTGAACTCTCCTGTGACTTTTTTTGCTTAGGATAGTGTTCTACCACTTGAGCCACAGTTGTACTTCTGGCTTTTTAATTGGCTAATTGGAAATAAGAGTCTCATGGATTTTTTCCTGCATGGGCTGGAATTGAGATCCTTAGATTTCAGCCTTAAAAACAGGATTATAGGTGTGAGCCACCAAGGTCTGGTGAGAATTAAAACCTTTCACGATAGGAACAGAGGTTGGATGAAATCATGGTACAAAGGACACATGGCCTTCATATTAAGTGTCTTAGAAAAGTCACCCTTATTTTCAAGATGGGGAAATTTTGCCAAGTATTTATTTTCTAGACAATTTTGTGAAATTTCCTCTTTTTCTTGTGTGTGTGTTGTGTTTATATTTACAAGTGTGCTATCTTATTGAATGAACTCTTTTAATAAATAAAAAATGGTACACAATGGTTTTTAATTTGCTGGTGTTGTTATTGACTATATTATATTTTGTTTTTTTTTTGAAAATTGAAAAAATGTCATTGGTTCAATAAAGGCATCTATCTCTTGTCTGAAAGAAGATGTGTTTTCTTATCTGGAAGTAACTACTTTTTGCAGTAACTTTATATGATAAAATAATGTAACTTGTAATTCACTTTGTCATGGGGAAATAGACAATCTTTTTAAAATGCTTTGAGTGTTTTGAATTTCATGCACATCTTTCATGCACCTTATACTGCATCCTTCTCTATCAAAATGGCTTCCATCTGCAAAGCATTTGTAGCAATTCCTATCACAGCAAATGTGAGTACTGTCATTTATTTCCATCTTGAATGCGGAGCCTTTGTAGTAAGAGGTGCCTAATCTGTAGCTACCTAAAGATTTATTTTTATTATATTTTCACTTTTTATTATGCCTCAAAATCTTTATGAACTTTTATCTCATTGACTCTGGACGTGGCTTTTGTAATTATCAAATCCAACTTTGCAAAAAAAAAAAAGCTTTTTTTTAAGTTAAAAAAATTAAAAATTAAAAAGTTTTAATTTCAATTAACTACAAAAAGCCAAAAAGTGGAGCTATGGTTCAAGTGGTAGAGCACCAGTGTTGAGCAAAAAGCTAAGCAACAGCATCCAGGCTCTGAGTTTTAGCTGCATAATAAGTGGGCGGGGTGGGGGTGGGGACAAAAAAGCAAAACGAACCATCTTTGGGGCTTTTCTTAAGTTCTTACTGAAGAACTTCCCATGGAATTTTCTCCCATAGATCTCTCACATAGAGAAGCACACAAGTTTGTTGTTGGAGCCATCATTGCCACAGGTGTAAGAGCTTTACTGACACTGCTAACAATGATGACGATGGAAGTTAAAAAAATAAGTGTGTGTGTGTGTGTGTGTGTGTGTGTGTGTGTGTGAGTGTGTGTGTGTGTGTGTGTGATCTAGTCTTGAGGCTTGAACTCAAGGCCTGGGTGCTGTCCCTGAGCTTTTGTGCTCAAGGCTAGCACTCCTACTACTTGAGACACAGCTCCACTTTCAGCTTTTATTTTAGTGCTTAGTTAGGGATAAGAATCTTACAGACTTTCCTTCCCAGGCTGGCTTCAAACTGGAACCCTCAGATCTCAGCCTCCTGAATACAGGCTTGAGTCACTGGCACCCAGCTAATATTTTTTTTATTTAATTTATATTTTATCTAATTTATCCAAACCCATGAGGCAGATTCCTGTTTTTATCAATGAGAACTCTGAGAGGGAACGGAGTTGAGGGGTAAGGAGAGTAGTTATAAAACAGCTAGGAAACAATGGGCCCAGGAGTCTAAACCTTGCCTTCTGCTTCTAAAGCTCATGATTTTTATCATTATATTACAAACAACAACAAAAGAAACTGAAAGACACAGAGAAAACCAAATTCTTGATCAGCCATTTGAGCTTATAATCTTGAATTGCCTTTATGAAGAGCTAGAATCAGCTGCATGTGGTAGTGCATGCCTGTAACCTAAGCTATGCAGGTGGTAGAGGTATGAGGATTGTGGTCTGAGGCAACTATAGACCATACTTGAAAAATAAACTAAAACAAAAAGGACTGGTGATACTGCTCAAGCAGTAAAGACTCCAAATTCAGAACTCCCTACAACCAACCAACCAACTAACCAACCAACCAACCAAAAAGCTCATGCTTCTGTTGATTTGGGATGGATTTCTTCCCCTTTCAGTGTAAAAGAGCCCAAATAATCTACATTACATGAAGTATGGTACAGTCCCTCTGGCTGTGGAATTTGCATTTGAGCTTTGCTAGGTATATCTCTGTAGTTGCTCTAGCCATTCCTTAATGAATAATGGCTTTAAATAAAGTTCTCACATTTCCCTAGCTTCCTTTTATGTAATCAAAGGACTC